CCATTTAAGGGATATTTTCCAATAGTCATCACACATATGATGTTATATGTATATAAAATACTAATATAAATATGGTTGTGGGTCTCTTTCTTGTCCATGAGATATATACAGGAGAGTTGAAGCTCACACTATAACAATAAATTAGTGGTGCATCATCCTCTATTATGATTATTGATTACATGACTAGAAAGTGCACTCACTTCCATCTCAGTACAAAGCATCTTTGTCTGGAGAAAACCAAAATTTTCATGTAAGTGATTTCATCACTGTGTACATATCAACTGTAACGTTTTAATCCGTTACCATGGTGATTTCATAACAAGTTATTTTTTCCTGTTTTTTATACTTTATAAGAATTTTTTTAAGAGAGTATATTATTATTGATGATTTTATTATTATTCTTGAATTCAGTTACATTTTGTTGCATTTTTATTAGAAAATTTGGTTTTATACTGATACCTGTGCTAAGCAATGAAATGGAGGCAGTAAGTTCAAAGGTGAAATGTATATTATTACTATTATTGATTTTCCATGAAATCATATTGGTAATACTTCGATCTATTTATTGAAACACTGTTAATCCCCAAGGATAAGCTATATAATCGCTTGACTTGAGCTCTTTCTTGTCATTCATTGCTGGTGGAACTAAGTTAGAATTAGAATGATACTTAAAGATTCATTAACAGTTGTCTTCGCTCAATACTCAAGATCCGATGGCCAGAAAAGATCAGCAACAGGGTGGGATCTCTGGGAGCGAACCAACCGAGCAGGAACCGATTGTGAAACAAATAGGCAGGAAGAAATGGAGATGGATTGACTGGCCATACTCTGAGGAAACCAACCATCAAGTGACATCACTAGACAAGCCCTTGAGTGGAACCCGAAAGGGAAGCGGCGAGTTGGTCGTCAGTGCGAAGGTGGGGTGACTTGGAGGAGGTGATGTGAAAAGGAGATGAAAACGTGTGGGCAGACTTGGAGCCAGGTGAAGACTCTAGCAGAGAACAGAACGCAATGGAGACGCACGGCTGAAGCCCTATGTTCCTCTAGGAATTAAAGGATACAATAATAATGACTATTCTTACTATTAACAGATGTTTATAGAACAAGCATACAGAGCATAGACACAGCGTCTTTGTCGTGACCAATTATTATCATATTATTATTGTTTCCTGTAATTACTAGAGAAACACTGGACTTCAACCGCATGTCTCCATTGCTTTCGGTTGCTCCCTGTCAACCTGTTTTCATCACCTGGCTCCACGTCTTCCCACAGGCTTTCATCTCCTCTTTTTACATCACCTCCTTCTGCACGTCACCCTCGCACTGACAACCAACTTGCCGCTTCCCATTCACCAACTTCCACTCGAGTGATACTCTGGTGTGTGATGTCACTTGATGATGGGTTTTTTTTTTCTCAGAGTACGGCCAATCCACCTCCATTTCTTCCTACATATTCCTTGTACAATTGATTCCTGTTGGGTTGGTTCGCTTATTTTTATTTATTTTTATTTTGATTTACAGCTTGATTCCACACCGTATTTTCAGTACAAGTATGGAATTTTCAGCATGGATATCGGTAGCCCAAATTCAGGCCGACCATAGATATCGGGTGTGCGCCGGTAGGGGATCGAACCCCGGACCATGTGTATGGTCGGCGAGAGTCCTAACCACTGTGCCACCGACGCAGAGATCTCTCACTATTACTGATCTTGAGTATTGAGTTGTAACCAAATAGTGTCGCCATTACGACTATGAGGACACAATGAAGACAAAAAGAAAAGAGATTCAGTACAAAAAACCTTTGGCAGTTATAAAAGAATTTGACTGACTTTAACGCTGAACAGTTACCGACCGACTACGACTACTGCTATTGGCTGACACGAGTGTCTAATGTCATTTAACAGAAACTATCATTGTTTTGTTGTATGTATATATTTCAGATAGCCATTTTCGTGCATTTATCTGATTGTCTTAACACATTTGACAACTTTGAATGACAATTACTGAGTGTAGATTGGAGTTGCCGATGATATTCAACTAGTGTATTGCCTATCCCGAAACGAATCATCCAACCGCTTAGTGAGAGAATTTAACTGTTTGGATTGATTTATGTAATAATAATAATAATAATAATAATAATAATAATAATAATAATAATAATAATAATAATGACGAAAATGAAAACAAAACACGTAGATCAGCGAAGAGTCTCTTTTCGGCGAATTCATCTTCTTAGCTGTACAATCGCAAATATATATGCATTGTTTTGTATGTATGTGTACATTAAGTTTGTCAAACAAAGTTACAATTGGTTAAGGTTAATTTTAAGTAAACAAGTGAAGGTTGGTAATACAGGTCAAGAAAATTAAGTGAAACTAGGGTAGTAACAAAGGTGATGAGTTGTCACCAACAGTTGTAATAATAATAGTGAGTTTTACTCAGGATGCACATGGAAACAAAGTAGAAATTATGTAAGAGATCTAAGTGGATACAAGAATTATAATTGCTTAAGGTTATTTTAACTAAACAGGTAAAGCTTGGTAATATGAGTCAAGGCAATTAAGTGCTAGGATTGTAACAAAAGTGATGAGTTGTCACAAATAGTTGTTAAAAGAAGTTATGCAATAATAATATGAATATTTTGATGAGTGAGTTTTACTCAGGATGCACATAGAAACAAAGTAGATAATACGAAACTATGTAAGAGATCTAAGTGAATACAAGAATTATAAGCAACTAAGGAACAGGCAAAGAAACAAAATTAAGTTATCAAAATAAAATAAAATGAAATAAAATAAAAAATCAAAACATTGTTACCATGAGAGTAGAAGTGGTTGAGTAATCTTCTTTTGTATGCACAGCTCCGGTTTTTCCATGTGAATGGCTAGAGCTTTAGCGATACAAAGGAGACGAAACCGTATTGCCTTTGACATGTTGTTCTTAACTCGGTAGATTACTTTGAAGGAGGCGTTCGTTGAAATGCAATGATCAGTGCTGACCAGGTGTTCAATTATCGCACTCCTTATTGCACCAGTATTGCCTTTTCGCAACCATGCTGGATAGTGTTCTTGAATCCTCTTGGACAGGATGCGCGTCGAACGACCGATGTACCTGGCTCCACAGCAGCAGGTGAACTGGTATATGCACTTAGAAGTGGTCAGATGCGGGATCTTGTCCTTGAGGCTTCTGCAGATTAGTGGGCGACTGGAGAACACTATTCTTAGCGTTGCTGCAAAGAATGTTCTTCTCAGAGATGATGTGATCCTTCTCTTGAGAATATCACTTGCTAAATCTCCCTTGAAATCCAAGTTCATGTAGATTTTCTTTTTAGGCGCAGTCAAAGTTTCGTTTTTCCGAATTATTGGTTTCATATTTTTGTCGATAAATCTTCGCTGATCTACGTGTTTTGTTTTCATTAATGCCTGGATGGGGATTATCCAGGAAATGACGAAAATCCCATTGTATCGTCAGGATAGGCAGAAGTAAAAAAATATCTTCATGAAGGGAAGCATTTAGATAAAATAAAATGACTATTAATAGGGGATATTAACTGCTCTTCAAGTTTCACCTAATAATGCAAGTACATCCGACTGCTGAATGACTTTAACAACACAAGAAATTCTTGCTGGTGAATGCTCCTAATGATGATATCAGGTTGTTGTTGTTTTTTGTTTTTGTTTTATTTTATAATTTTTTTTAAAGATCTTTTCATGGATTTCTATTTCTTTTATTATTATAGCCTCAGGATGATGTGTGAGACGTGTGGGACTGCAATAAAAATATAGGATTTTGATTGGACACTAGTAACTAGTGTGATGATGTGTCTAGTCCCTTCTTTGGTACACACTGAATTCCACCAGTCAGTGAAGTTTGCAATGTGGCCACCATTCCACTAGGTAGATGCTCGCTATCATGGTGCACATTGATTTAATGATATTAAATAGTTGGAGGCAGTCGGCCACAGGAAGCCTTATTGCCAATCTGACTGACTGATAGAATTCAGTCTGCACCAAAGAAACGACTAGACACATCGTCACACTAGTTACTTGTGTGCAATCAAAATAACCACTACAGTCCTACAGGAGGTTAATCATGAGCCAGCCCGAATAGCTCAGTGGTAACCTCTCTGACTGCAACACTGGGTGACGCGTGTTTGAATCTCAGAATGAGGGACATGAGTTCCTTCAAGGTGACTGCAGATACGTCTTACTGACTGACTGGTGGTGAGTGCCAACTAGCACGAAACCTAGGTCAAGCAAGGCTTCCTGTGGCCAATTGCCTCCAACTATCTAATATCATCAAATCAATGTGCACCGTGATGGCGAACCACCTACCATGGTGGCCACATTGCAAACCTGACTGATAGAATTCAGTCCGCAGTAAACAAAGCCAAAGACACATGACACTAGTTAGTGTCTAGTCAAAAGCATTGCTCATAATGAAATCCTGTAGCCAATCA